CTCGCTGGTGAACATTTCACCAACACACCATCAATAGGTGCAGAAATCTGACTGAACATTTCAGAAACACCTGAATGCAGCGTTTTCCTAAACACTTACAGCTCCATCAGGCTTGTTTATATCTTTTCATCTGTTATTTCTGATGAACCAGAACATAATTGAATGGGTTAAATAACCAGATGCTGTATAGTTTTTACAATGCCAATATTGTTTTATTGTAAAAGGTGCAGACAGTATTAATAAACAAAACTCTTATTTTAGGGTTACTTCAGCACCCCCAAAATAGGCTAAAAGGCCTATACCCTTTGCTCTTAACACATGGTAGGTTATTTTATTCCTCTTGGTAACATTGAAATATAAATATAGGCAACATAAAGTAGAATGTAAACAGCTCTTCCAGCCCTGCAATGACTTTATTACTGGAGTGAATGTTCTGACCATCTGTCAGTTGATCCATATAATGGGTAGAAATTGAGGGCCTCAGATCGGTTCTGTTTAGAGGCTGCTGGTCTGTTCTGTGGTTCCGTTGCAGTGACTCCCCTCTATCCGCTGCAGCAGAGGGAGGAGCGTGAAGCCGACAGATGAGCGCCATGGACCGGCTCAGTGCGCTCTGCCCTGCGGCAAACATCTCCATCTATCAGCGCGCAATAATTGAAATGGCGCATTTGGCCGCAGGCTGCTGGAGGCACAAAGCGCCACGACAGACGTCATTTACTGTGGCCCCGAACCACGGGGAGGCTGGGCCTTTTCATCCGGGTGGATCTGAACCCCGCTGATGCTGCTGCTGCACCTCACAGCTGAGTTTTCCTCCAACAAAGAGCGCAAACACAAGGCGCGCTCCTCAACAAGTCAGGGCAGGAGGACCTAATCCTGGCCCCGGGGGTCTGAGGAGCCCGGGGCCAAACTCGTCCTGCAGCTTGCTCTCCTCTCTGTTGGTCTGCATTGTTTCTGCTCGGCTCTCTCTCTCTCCAGAGGACGCAGGCAGAACCCACCGGGCCGGGAGCCGAACCTCAGCTGGAGCTGCAGCGCTGCCGTCCATGTCTACCGTGTCTGTTTCCTCCCAGGTGAGAAAAAGCACGTGCTGCTGGTTTAAACCTGATATTCACCATTTGGTATCAAGTCTGTGCGCCTCGACGTTTCCGACGGAAGCCCAGACTTCACTAAAATAACTCTGGTTTTATGTTTCTGGGAGCTTTTTGGGGTTATAGCAGCTTTATAAACAAAAATCCAAAATGCTTTATTTAGGTCGTGATGGAGGCTTAAAAACGGCGCTGGATTCGCGGTTTCTAGAGTTGGGTTTCTAATCTAAATCTGAACTTGAGTCGCTGCGTTTTACACGATCTTCCCGAAAGATCCGCAGCTCCGATGTCTTAAAGCAGCCCCTTATCACAGGGAGCGTTTCTGCTGAAAGGTGTTACAACCCGAAACCATTTAAACCCCCCAGAGAGCGGGGATTCCGCACAGATGGCCCCTCAGAGGCGCACGCTGACCTTTAGTTTCACAGAAACATCCTAAATGTTGAAGTTTCTAAACGGAGACTGGAACGAGGCGCAGAAAGCCCGTTTTATTCACATGAGCAGAGATCATACAATGTGTTCGTGCACGCGCCCGGATCTGTAGGTCATATCGCAGATCGTGCACGCGGACACGCAGACGGAGGAGGAGGAGGGGGGTCTGGCTGCAGGGCGCAGACTGGGCTGCAGCCTCCTGATGCCCCAATTGGACCTTAGATTGTAGATCAGTAAGTTATTGATCTATGGCTTCTATTTCTGCTCAGGTCCA